CTTCTGTTATCATATAATCATGCATCAAGGCATGCCTTTTATAAGTGAGAATTCATAGATACGCTAAGAACAATCTGATATTCAACACTCGACTCGATCGTCGAGACCCCGCTATTACTTACGACGCATAACACATCTTAAACATTGTGCACTCAACTGTCGTCCAATGCAGCTTGCATCATATTTCATCCCACGAACAAACAGTTTCAAGTGTGTTGTGCAATTGTGGAGAAACGTTTTGTGCGACATACGTCTGTGCGTTTATATATAGATCATATAAAATTTTTCTCCGTGATGAATCAGCGGCCAACCGTGAAACCTAATCTCGTGTTTGTAGAATACCTTCTTTTCGTATTGGAAAGTACTAGGTTCAATAACGGGACGAATAAATTTTTGCTCGAACGATATTAAAACTTACGGTGTATTTTTTCGGTTCACTTATGGTGCTCCCGATATATATGAGTACTATAATTTAATCCGCTGTGATAATAAAAGTATAGTTACTGCAGTGATTAAACGGTGGCCAAGTAATAATTATAAATATAGAATATTAAATTTTTCTAAATAAAATTTAGAATATAGTAAGAAAGCTTTATTACGATAATTGTAATAAAATTTGGTAAAATTTTTCAGAAATTTGATAATGCTGAAATGTTCTAGAAGATTCACGATTTTGAAAAAGAATTTGTTATGTAAAAATACTTTCGATTAACTATTTGAAGGAAATTTGCGAGCATACAATAATTATCACGAGCAATCTCACGAAAGATCTGTCGGAAGTTGTAACTAGTTGTCACGTTCCGGTATGTCTGGGCATCGCCAATGTTTCGTTCTGGAAGTTCCAATTATGGCGTTTAAGCGTCGAAGCTTAAATCTAAAAAGCCAAGAAGCCATTTATCATTGCAGTAGAATATCAAAATTAATTTTCTTAAATACACAAAGGATGATGTTCTCTCAAATGAATTTCCAAGATAAGATTTCAAATTCTCTTGGCTAATTTATCTTTGAATTACCTGCAGCGATTATTTCTCATTTCATATTAATGTTTTTGCTACGCAAGCTTGAACATAAAATATTTCTCGATTGCAATACGATGAAAACTGATGATATCAGCAGTCCGTGCGGAAAAGCGAAAATCATCATGGTAAAACTTGTATTTCTAACTGGTATATCGCACTATAGTATACATTTATTGCCGGCTATTCATCGGCGCGTGAATGAAGATTAAGCTTTTCGAGTACGCTTGTTTAAGTTGCTCGTCTTGGTGGATACACGCCACCACGAACAACCACTACGGAAGAATATTCACCGAGACTTTCAGAGAGTTGCGTGAAGGAATATTCGAGCTGGAAACGCGAAAAATATCAGCTCGTGAGAAATCTGATGTGAGGTAGCTTGAAAATTTTTCGAGAGCATTTTCGTTCAAAGGAAACACTGTGTTTAAAATTTCCACTGCTATATCAAACCTTCTATATTTACCTGTCGTTCGCAATTTCTTTTTCTATTAGTAAAGTGATTTAAACGAACTTAAAAAAAAAAGAATAGATCGAAATCTTTTTTGTGTGATATCGAAAAAAAATTCGGAGAATTTCGTGATATATGAAATATCTCGATAGAAACCACGATAAATGAATGAAAAATAAAATATGAAGAGTTAAAATTTTCTGACCTTTCTTTAAACCACCTTTCCTTGCGTAAGTTGAAAGATATCAGATGGTTAGGCCAGAGTGATTTGTCATTCAGCGTATTCGCAAAGGGGCAAAGATACTCGGCGTGTTTACGGCCGTATATATGCGCATACATTTGGCGCAAGACTTTAACCGGGACTCTTGATCATGAGGATGAAAATGAAAATGATAATTTGTCGTATACGAATCAGCAAGTCAAATAGCAGCAAGTTAGGCGGGTTCGCGCCTTCGGCCGCGTCTCGCTGCGCTCGAGAAAGAATGATGATTTTCTTTCGTGGAACAAGCGATAATTGAAATTATGCATGCGTTTCTGAAACACATTTCTTTGTCTCGCCTTTTCCTACGTATCAATTTCATTCTCGTTTCGAATACTTCGAGACTTCGTCCAAACTGTTGTCGAATTGATGAAAATAAGAATGAATATGATTTATAACTATTTAAAGAGGAAGGAATTTTTATATCATTTTTAGAATCGTTCCATTCGTCACCTTCGTTACGATAGTAAGTAATAAGAAAAAATTAAGAGGAGCTAGAGAACACTTTTAACTTCAGAAAATTCTTTTAGGAATACCTTTTCCATTTGGAAAGGTGCAAACGAGTGCAGCTTGGAAACAGCGAGAGGAAGAAGGTGGATCGCAAACCCCATTGGCAAAAAGAATCATTCATTTCCCGAGTTATAAAGTTTAAGGTTTCAAGGCTTAATTAAAGTCTACAGGGCAACTTTCGACGAAAATCTCTTCGAAAAGAAATATTCTCTTCGCCGACTCTTTCGTACAGTAAGAAATTCGTTCAACAAGTGGAATCGTAAAACTGTCAAATATATTTCCACGAATTTTACTTGTGAAATTACCGCTTTTGTTTGTGCAAGATAATTAAGAGAATATATCGATTTATAAGAAGCTCTAACTTGGATATTAACTGTCATCTGGTTATTAATTTGGATGTTGTTATTAACTGCAAAAGTTTTTAACCTAACATTTATGCTTTAACGCGATCAAATATATATCTCATCGTAAACGACAAGTATACGAAAGATTATTATTTATCGGCGAAAAATGTAACTAATTCCGAATACTTGGAGTGCTGCAGAGAATAATAAATTAATGGCTGTTTGTTTCGTCGATAATCAATTTCGTTCGTTATACATTTGTGCAAAATATATTTCAAGTATGTATTTAGTTATTGAAATGGAAGATATCGAATAAAATATATCACCGGAATGACATTATCGAAAGCATGGAAGAAAAAGATTGGCTGAAACACGAATACAATTATTTGACTTTCAACAAACACGAATGTGCATATATATATCGTATGGAAGGTACATTGTTTTGATTTCTCTAGAGTATTGTTTTTTCCGACGGAAATAGGTAGATTGCAGCAGCCGGGAAAACATCAATGTTATTAGTTTTCTGTATAGTTTAACAATTACATAAAAATTTGATATAATAAATAACTTCTATTAGCAATTTATTCATTTATCATAAATAGTATTGCAATTATCGGAAATAATATTTTTGCTTTATTTATTCAACTGCATAAATATTTGAGTTCTCCACATCGCTAACTAGAGCGGTATTAATCCGTTTTTGTTAAACGCTGTATATTTATTGTTTATCATGTTCATATTCGTACCGAATATTTGTTATTTTTGTTATGTTAACAACATTTGATCTAAATGCAGATCTATGTCTTGTCATCAATGTCTGTCTCTTGCTCTATATCTTTTATGTTCCTTTCCCAAAAAAAATTTGCAGACTCAGTCTTCTAATTACTTTTTAAATTTTACTTTGCTGTGATGCATTCGTCGTATCTTTTTGTATATTGTGAGCTCGAAAAAGAATTAGATTGGCAGTTTGACTTTACAATTACTAATTTTCTGCTTATTCTTCATCTAATTTACCAATAGCTATAGTTTCGATTCCGCATAATCTACTTTCCAAGCTACTGCTATTTTTCAGATGCCTTAGACTGTCCGAACGGCAATGCCATTTTTTAAATATCTAAATATTGCTCCGAGTGTTAATTTAAAAAAATAAACTTATATTAATGCAAGAACTAAAAAATGGATCTGTCTATGGATGAGTCTAAGAATAAGCACATGCTACCTTGGTATCGATACGTAGCAGCGATTAGAAGGCCAGTTCACATCGATTGTTCATGATAATTCATGAGTGAAACAAATATGAAATAACACGAGGATCTACACAGAGTGTTTCAAAATGATGGAGCGAAGGATTTGAAAATTTAGAAATAAACGTAAAATGAGAAGGAAACCGGAATTGATAGACATGAAATGCTTAGAAATATCAAGGAACATACATATTGTATTGACTGACTATTTCGTTTTAGAGAATTAGCCCTGAAGCACCTGAGGTAAGCTGTTAGAAGGCAGGAGATGATGTTCTGCCAATTACTCAAAAAATGACTCTCGACCGAGCAACTCCTACAAACTTTATTTATTATATAAACCTATATCCATAAACTTTATTATAGTATGAAATGTACTTATAGTATAATATAATATAATATTATAATATCTGTAATCAGCGGTATATTTATCGCATATGAAACACTCTGTAAAACGTAAAGTGAGGAAACACGGTCGAAGGAAACCGGCCGAACACTCTAACTACGCCTGAAACAGTCTGGTGTCACAGTTGTCATCGTGTACAGATACACAGTGAAAGAGAGACAATATGTACGAACTTTTCGCAAGCTATCGTCTGCTATTCTGCAAGCTATTCTTTCTCTCGTTCTTTCTTCCTATCGTTCTGTAATCGCGGATTCTTTTTACGTCTGTTTTCTTTCTTTTCGTTCCGTTTCGTTTCTTTCTACTCTTTTCGTGTGTTTACTTTTTTCTCGCGTGTCTCGTTACCAAGAGGAACCACCTTCCGGTCGACAAGGTCCGGCGTAGAGAAGCCGTAAGGAATGAGAATGACGGAGGAAGGAAGGAACGCCGCGGAAGAAGAAAAAAGTATGCTCGAAAAGTTTAAGTCACGCGGGCTGGCACGTTTCAGTTCATGTGCAGCGGTTCTATATCGGCTGATGGGTGAAAATGGATGTCGTACAGAGAGATGCTTTAGTGATGGTGGCGGCTGCTGCGGTGGTTTTCTTTTTCATAGCTGGCAGTGGTGCAGTTAAATGCAGTGCTGTGAGGTGCAGGCACACGCGCATATAAGTAGTGCAGTAGTAATAGTAGTAGTGATGGTAGTAGTAGTAGTAGGTAGTAGTAGTAGTAGTAGTAGTAGTAGTAGTAGTAGATAAGGTAGTCCATTACAGGCGGACACAGGTTAATGGTAAAATAGTTACCCGGGCCTTGGCGCCGCCAGAGTGATCTCCGCTCGCGGAGGAGGAAGGACTCACCCGGTATCCACCGAGGTTGCTCACCACGCAGGTGAAGGTTGCGTCTCGACCCTGCGAGATCGTTAAGTTCTCCAACGGGTATGTGAAGTCTGGCTCGAGCCCCGTCACTGTAACAATCAATCGGCCATTTTTTTCATCGAATAATTGGTCATTTTTTCAAATGCGTGCACACTTATCTTTTTTTATCAGTCAGATGACAGATTTAAATATCTATTAAGCCGTATTTCTTTAGATTTAGATCATTGTTTATACCTATTTCATTGTTATTATTTATAGTTTACTCCATATTCAAATTTTACAATGTAACCACAGGGAAATGTATGAAAATTATTTTTAATATTCAGCGACAAAAATTTCGTCGACGTTAACGATATCCAAGCATAAAATGTAGTGAAAAGAGAAATGTGTCAAAAAATGTGAGAAAAAAGAGTAGTGAAGCCCTGATATATGTCGAAAGTTTCCAAAATAGCATGTATGGATAAAATAAAATACCAATATGTAAAACGGGCAAATTTTGCATTGTGAAACGGATTGACCTTTTGTTCGAATTACTAAAAAAAGCTTGTTTTCAAGTTGAAGCGCATACGTCCATACTCGGGATTAATGTCTTAAATTGATTCTGTGTCGATATCACCGCTCAATTGAATATTACCATGTGAGGTACATACGTTTGTTCATATGTGTTTTAAAATTATTTCACAATGTTAGTTTCCAGAAATGTATAGTTTCGCAAACTACATATTAAATTATTTTATATTTTTCTTCGTTCATTATAAATAAGAAAAATTTTCCGTAAAGGGACGGCAGCGGTAGCATATTCTTATAGATTAAAATGATTAGATAATAATTAATGATAGAAAAAAATGACGGTGAACATAAACCGAGGCTTGAAGAAGAGTCTAATTTCTAGAGACATCAGGTTTCTTAAGGGAATGTTATCTGCGAAGCAAGCAACGTCGAAAAGTTTTACTGGCGCACACTTTGGATGCTTTATCTTCGCTGGTATGAAGCAGCGCGGAAAATTCTGCTCCTCGAGATTTTCATTTTATCTTCTTCTTTTAAAGAGAATTCTACTATCTCTAAGGAAATGCCTTTTTTTAAGCAAATAGCCCCGATTTGGCAATGATTTCAGCGCGAATTTTTCACAGAACAAGGTGTTACGTTCGTAACTAGGAAATATGTTGATACGCGATATGTTAAAATGCGAATTTGTATACAGAGTCAAGGTGCATGGATCATGTTATTAAAGCAAAAATGTCCTTATAATTTACAATACTCGATACAAATGGAAAAATTACCTTTCGATCAATTACTAGCAATTTCTCGTAATCGTAGAACCTTCCAAAACTGTTCAAAATCGTAGGTATGCGTAGCATGTGTAATTGAAATTCACGAACTGTTACTTTGGGTTACGAGAAACGAGGAACTGAAAATTTAAAGGATGTAAGGGATTAAAAGGTAAATTCATAGGAGAAAACGACCAGTGTATAAAAAGTGCTAGAGATAATATTACTCCAACTCGTAGAGAAGAGAGATAATCGCTCGCATAACTAATGTTTAGGGTTATAGATTAATCTTTATTCTTCCCTCTTTTTTTCTTTCTCTATACGGGTATGAATAATACATTATTAAAATCTCGGTATGGTTAAGGTATTATATTCTTCCAAAATTTCTAGAGAAGAGGATAGGTAAAAGCAAGAAATATTTTCGCGAAACTTTTTCGATAAAGAGAGATGCTTTTTAAAACAGACGAAGAACAAAGAAAATTATACATGATATAAATTCATGAACATATCTTAAATAGCAAACACATTTAAAAATGTTTGAAATTATGTTTTTGAAAAATATAGAAATTGAAAAAAAAAAAGAAATATATTACATAGACAATTTCTAAAAGTTCATATACATTTTTCCTGTAACAGATGCTACTCATATCGTAATATTTGATTATCACGTTATTATTTGATATTGATATTGTTATTCGATGAAAAGTTAGTAAATGCAGGTGATCGACGGTAATAGAGGAAAATTGTACTGGAAATTTAAATGAATGCATATTTTCAGATGAAATTAAATTACTACATTTTCCAATGAATATATGTATATATTATTATATAAATAAATATAAATATATAATTATATATATTAATTATATCATATATATTTACACAGGGTATATTTACCCTGTAATAAGAATTTTTCGTTTGAGGCTTTGTTTTCGAGAAAATCGACTTTGAATTTTCGCTCGGTACGCGTGCACTTTATCACGTCTCGTTATAACTGATCTCACTGTAGATCGTTGTCTCGATGGAAAAATTAAACAAAAAGAAAAAATAAAAAAATAAAATTTTTATTCTGTATTTTCGGCTTCCTTTTTCGCGTAGAATCATCCCCTTTCCGCTTGTACCGCCAGTTACCAACCATCCTGTATATTGCAAATCTAAAATAATTTCAAATATACGTTCATCTTCCTACACTCTTATCTTGAATTTGTCAGGTGGTAGCGTCAAGCTCTTTGATTCGTTATCCACAAAGTATTTCCTTCGATTATAAAATAAATATATGCGCATATTCAAGTGGAAATCTCGTGGAATTGACTATTTTATGTCGCGCACGATAAAATATTACGTTTTGTATAAAATGCAGAATCGAATTAACTGTATTTCATGTAAACGAATTTTGCACGAAAATGAACCGGTAAATCGCAAAACGAAATACCGAATACTGCCAAATTTTTTAATTAGAATTTACATCAATTTCTTCAACACCTCTTTTTCCTTTAAATATCCCATGGTATCTGACAAAGCATTAAAGTATCGTGGATAATATAAAAGTATAACAATTTTCAAGCTAACAGTATCAAAGCATAAGAAAAAAGCGATGTATCATGAATACACCAAATTGTGTTCATTCTATGCCATTTTACCGTGTCTTACGGTATTACTTCAATTTCTAACCATCTTAAAGATATAGGTTGTCCCAGTTATGTGGAAAGCCCTGTAGAGGAGCGCATTGAGAAGTTCCCGTAAATCGTATTACAATGAAAAATTAGAGGGAAGCTTCAGCGGTATCTCTAACGCAGCTGGAACGACAGTTATGCAATCGAACATATATCACCGGTGAGCCATCGCGAAATAAAGGTGCGCTCAATAAAACGCCGGCGTCGCTTCGGAAAGAAACTGATTCACCGTATAACCTTTTTTGCCATTTTTCAAGAAAAACGCATACGTGCGGATTTCGAATTTACCTCGCGACGAGTGGTTCGCCGCGATACCTTCTAACAAGGAATAGAAAACCGTCATGACGATGGTTTCGATAGTTAGGTATGACTTTTTGTCGCTCAGATTTTCCACAAATACGAATGTATACTGGTTCACGAAAGTATTCGAACACATACTATAGAAAACTTTTATATTCATATTAATGTGCCGTATGAAATATTTTACAATTTTATTAATATGGTTATGAGACTCGATTATCATGATATTAGTAAAGTTTAAAATCTATCTGAAAATGTATATTCCTGCATTAAATTGAACGCCAAATACATACTTTTAAACATTTGCATTCAATTATAGATTAATATTTTTCACTCATTAGGAAGAGTTTGTGGATCCTGTTGGGATAGGCTTTTCATGACATTGTTTGGTGACACATTTTTTTTAATTGACCGGAAGATAAGAGAAAAATAAATTGGAAAGATTTTTTGAAATATCAAATGTCATTTACGTGAATGCAGGTCAGCAGTTTATGACAGTTTGTATGGAAGTACGCAACCATTAAAAACTCTTTCAACCTCAAAAATCATTTCCAATATTTGTTCGCTGACTAAAATTCGGTTACATGTGCACGCACGATAAAGAGAAACAATGCCTGTTTTAAATAAACTGCAAAAATCTTATCTATGCTATCGCATAACGTATATGTATTGTAAACTGTGAATGCACAAAGTGAGCAAAGCTAGCAAATGGAATTTTAAGCAGAAAGCGACGAATTACTTCTTTCAAATGCGCGCCATAAAGAAGAAAAATGTCTTGGAAAAAAAATAAAGGCAGGAACATTTGTTTATTATTTTCTGTATAACACAGATGATTCGATCTTTCATTATATATTGTATATACAGCTACAATTCTGACAAATTAATTTTAGTCTTTTAACAAGGAAACCATATTTGGATTTTATATTAATTTCATATATCACGCGAATCGGGAATATTTTTTGCTTTCCTTAATTAGTCTTTCAAAATCAAGTACATAAAGTTTTAGATCATAAACATAAGAAGAAGGATTTACACGGCGTCTCATATCCATAAACGCAAATATTAACATTACCATTGCCTAAACACGATCATGCAGTACAGCATCTTAAATCAGCAATTACGCGCTAAACCCTGATCGTTCGCTCACTTCCGTCTCTCATTACCGATTTCCTCGTCTTGTTATTTTCTTGCTAACTAGAACCAGTTCCGTTCAATATTCGCCTCAAATTTATGCTCTCCCATAAACGTGTAAATTTCCTAGTGCACGAAACATCGTTTAAGCTTTAAACGAATGAAACGAGGGAGCAAACTTCGTGATTAATCAATTTATTCCAACAACCTCCTCACACGAATTACTCGATTCGTGGAAAAGAAATGGTACTCGTTTGGTTAGGCAAACACATGGTTGGTGAGGCGTGAGATACGTTTTTTAAGCGAAGCACGTGTTGCATAGACGATGTTTCTTGTCAAAAATTTTTAATGAAAATTTCAATGCATCCGGAAAGTTTTTGATTGGCCTGTACGATTTCGTGCGGTAGGTGACCGCGTCCTGTGTTAAGCGTTTTTGGTTACAAATTCGTGTACACAGCACGCGCGAACGATTGAAAGTTGAGAACTCGAGGGAGTTTTCTCGGTCGATCAAAGACGACAGGAGAAACGAGCTAAAAATTTATTTCATCGAGATCCAAGAGCGTGTCGTGTGTTCCCTGGCTAAAAACGGTGGAGGTTCATGCGATGATCGCGAAATATTAATATTTAGAATTCGTCCGTTTTGTTCTAGGGATCGTCCAAAATAATTTACGTATTCTTTCTCTGGTCTCCGGCGCAGTTTCGCGAAAGCTCCATACA